GGGTTTTTTTTTTTTTTTTTGGGAATGAGGGTCTGAAAAAAAAAATTTTTTTTTTTTTTTTTTTTTTTTTTTTAGTATATTTAAGCTTTTTAAACATCCTTACCAGGAGAGCCAATGATTGTGGGAGGTGATGTAGTTGAAACAGTGTTGTTCTTTAGCATATTACCTTTTGATGACACCATGGCGATTATAATAACTCAGATGATATTTTATTAGATGCAGTGAGTTTTGCAATATTCGCCATATTTATTTTCTGCTTGAAATCAGTCTGCTATATAATTTATCTTCAGGCTCTTTGTGAGATTCTGGTATTTCTCAATTAGTTTCCTTTTAGACTTAATTTTTAGTTTTATGAAAGTTTTTGTTATAACTAAAGTTTATGCTCTCTAAAGGCTGACCTGAACAGCAGCGGGATGCTGGATGGGCCCGGCTCATTCTATGGCGTAAGCAGCCAGTACAGCAGCATGGAGAGCATGACCATCACAGTTTCAACTAAAGTCTGCTCATTCGGGAAGCAGGTTGTAGAGAAAGTCGAGGTACGGATGTGAATTACATAGCTATTTTCACAAACGTGTGTTTGATACCGCTCACTTATTTTCTCCTGTTTTTGTTGTATGCTCCAGACAGAATACGCCCACCTGGAGGGAGGAAAGTATGTTTACAGGATCCACCGCTCTCCTATGTGCGAATACATGATCAACTTTATCCACAAACTCAAACACTTACCTGAAAAGTACATGATGAATAGTGTTCTTGAAAACTTCACGATCCTACAGGTAAAAAATACTTAATTCAAATTAGTCCTTAAAAAAGCTGCTATCATTCTAATCCAATGTGTGTTTATGTTCAGGTGGTGACGAACCGTGATACCCAGGAAACCCTTCTCTGTATAGCGTTTGTTTTTGAGGTTTCCAATAGTGAACATGGAGCTCAGTATCACGTCTACAGACTTATAAAAGACTAACAGCTCGTCAAGATAGTTCTGGAGAAGCCAGACTAAGCGTGACGCAATCTCTCTGCGACCACCTCAAACATCCAGGAAATCTACAACAGAAACTTTTGACAATGCTAGACCGGATTAACATGGACACACTTTATGCTTTAAGGAAAGAGTGCAAGGACAAAAGACAGACTCGCCAACATGAAACAAAATTGTGAAGAACTGTGGATAACCAGCTATTTTTATGTGATTAAACAAGATGAAGTGGGTCACTTTGTGTTTGATGAAGATTGAAATGTTTAATTGAGGGATGGAGAATGTGATTATGGGGTTGTAAAGACTCTGGTGGTATTAGTCAGAGAAGTGCTTATTGGCCTGAAAAGTGGAGAGATTTGGACCACAGAATGGGGGTAAAACCAGAGGGAAATTGGTTTAGGTTTGTTAGTACAGCAAGTGCCTTTTTTTAACCAAAGGTTTTACCATTGCCTGCCACTTTGGATTGCCTTTTTTACTACCTCTTGTTTTTGAATGAACAAAATATGTTCATACAGGTGTATTTTGTTACAAAAAATATTGGAGTCTGATCAACATCTGTGAGGGCAGTTTTTGTCTTTGGGCACACAGAGGAATGGGATAACTTTCATTCTGCCTTATCTACAAAATATGACATGAAAAAGAAATTCTAAGCAAAATGTTTAACAGTCCAAGTGTAATTGGGGAATGCTGATATTGTTGCTGTGTTATCGTAGTTCTGCTTGTATGTTTTTACATCTTAACAGTAAAAAATCAGGTCTTACCAGAATCTATCTGTTACAGACATTTGACACAAGGGTCTTGTATTATTGCAATTGTGACAGAAATCCAGGTATTTCTTGCTGTTTAAAAACGTGTGCTAAGATGCACTTAATTAAAAAAAAAAAAAAAACATCATGATGGGGGGGGGTTGCAGCAACAACAGTGCTTATTTTCTGACTTGAGTTATGTAGCATAATTGAATTGTTTCTTTCTGTACTGTGAGTCAATGGATATTAAAGGAATATGTGTTACATAGGAGTATTTTTCGGGGGGCTTTTTGTTGATATTTGTGATCATGTAACTCAACACAGAGACCATGGTTAAAGGGGGAGAAGTTAATCACTGTTTCTTTTGTTTAAAAAAGAGATTGTATGCTGTGAAGTTGGTTTATTTGCTTCACTCTTCTCCATGTAGTGTGTGGAGAGGCTGTATTCACTGATAAAAAGTTCAGTTTTATATTTAATTCAGTTTTCTTTAGTTTTTTTTACATACAAAATAATTATGAAATCAATTCAAATGATGATTTTGAAACAGAACTATTGTCTCTGTGGAGTGTGACTATTGATTGTTATTTATGGGGTTGGAGGAGAAATACCGAAAAGGCAGGGTGGGGTTTCTCAAGACATGTTGATAATTTTCCAATGTGATAAAGGTGTTAAAACTCTGGCATAAGTTTTATTTGAGACAGAATTAACTCTTGACTCCACAATTCCTGCTAGGCAAGCATCAGTTTTGTGAGGTCCACTGGAAAACATTGCTACAAGAGAGTAAAATTGAAAATATATCTGTGGCTTTGGTTGTCAAACTTCACAGCATGAATACAGATAACACTTCTCCTTTTGCAGGTCTCACGGTTTATCTTTTATACAGACATTTTCTGCCTGCATCAAGATTAATTTTTGTTTTGATCCTGTTGTCTTTTGACTTTCAGTGTTTGCCGTATGTTACACTGAAAATAATGTGTGATTGTTCTGGTATTGATAATACTGAGTTACCTAATGTATCATATTCGGAATGGTGTGGGAAGTTTTTTTTTTTTTTTTTTTTTTTTGTCTTTGGTTTAAGGTGGTTTACTATTGTCTTTGTTACAATTGTGCATTGCAATTTTATACTTAAAAGTAGAGGTTGGACTATGTAATCAACAAATGTATCTAACAACACAAGACGCATGGTGCCTTTGGGGCCATTTTCCCCCAGAAAACTCATTAAATTTATGTTAATTTGTTTTGTCTATGGTGGTTCTTCTTAATTTAACAAAAATATTAGCAACAAAATGTGTGGTTATGAAGTCTGCAATGAAAGGCAGGAAAATGTACATTTTTAGGAAAGAAAATATAATAGTAGATACTAGTTTAAATTAAGGTTAAACAGAAACCAACAATTAAATAATTAAACAAAAAAACTACTGCCTGTACTATTGTGAATACATGTACACTCAATGGCCACTTTTTTAGGTAAAGCTTGTGTTGGAAATCCTTTTTGACCCCAGAACATTTTTCTTTGTTTATTTAAATACTATTTTTTGGAAACGTTGTTGGTCCTTAATGACATGATAGCATATCAGAGTTACTGCACATTTGTCAGCTGTACATCCACTTTGCTCATTTCCATCATACTCTTAACAATACTGATTGACTAAGTGATTGTGGACGACACTAGAGTGCAATAATCCACTGGTCATGTTGAAGAAAGTAGCTTAAAGTGATTTGAGCTTTGTTACACAGTCTGCTGTCCCACTGGAAGTAGTCATCAGAACAAGGACATACAGGTACTGGTCGTAAAGGGACGTCCTTGTCTGCAGCAATACTCAGCTAGATGGGGCTATTCAATACTTCTTTGGAACTAAAGGACTCAGAATGTGCTAAAAAAATATATCCACCAGTACACTAATATCGCCAGTCTGAACCATTAGTTCATAGATCCAGGCTTTCTAGTTACCCACACAAAATTCTGACATTAACATCAATGTACAGAAAATATCTAAGCTTGTTGCTGAGAAAAAAATAATTGTCATAAAAAATAAAATAAAATTCCACTTGAAATGTAACAGATCAGGAAACACTTTAACTTACCATTATAAAGTACATCAAGGTAGTGCTGAACTTCAACTCCCAGAACTCATTTCGACAAATTAGCTCAAACCGGAAGTAATACTCTCAAAATAAAACTGCGTAAACGTTGTAAGGGTTGCTTTAATGCTATCAGCTTTGAGGTACAATATTGCATGGTTTATGTATGATTTGAAAGTTAGTCCGTAGTGTACCACTAAATTTGAACTGATGTCGAGCTTTAGTTAGGAAAGAACAACTGCAATCGGAGGTCAGCTCATTATTTTTTTATATACCAGCTGACTTGACGTCGGCTTGAGCGAAAGGCACGTATCAATGGCAACGTTTGAGTACCGCTATGTAAGAGTTAGTAGTGGCCTGAAATACACAGGTCTTACTGCTATGTGTCTCCTAGTGGATCATTAACCGGACGGCTAACAGGCTAGCAGGAAGTATTCTAAGACAAAAGCAAAAAAACTAAATAATCTCATAACTCCGACGACAAATCAACACTCCAATTCAGCCGACGGGAAGTAGACTGACGGTAAGTTATTGGACAAACTGGTACCAGGCCAGAAGAAACCGGAGCAAGTTCCACAGCTAAAGAGAGCAGCTAAGGGGTTTAGTGGCTGTAAGCTAACGGTTGGCGTTACCTGCAAGATGACATTTATAAACCAGCGGATCCACTTATAATAGAGTGTTTTACTTGTTTCAATAATGTTTTTACAAATGACCCAGTAGGCTGCTAAATGCGACTAAAGAGTTATATAAATCAACATGTTAATAAAGTTATTTTCGGCAAAGCGTCACCTGTCCTGTCCCAACACCTACAGGTGTAACACTTTATTTGGTGACATGTTAGACTACAGTATGACATCTGAATATAACATATCCGAGTAACTGGAGATAGATTTCCTATAATCCTACTTTTTAAATTTGTTCCAGGTGTATAATATAATTTGTAATAATGAATCACAGAGGTTGATGTTTGTGATTTACTTATTTCTAGTCAATTTATCAGTCACCTACACTAAAACCTAAACAGATATTGTAACCAATATGTTCTTGGATGTTTTTCATGCATCTACCTGCTTTTGCAAATTACGTCTTATCAGTTAACCAGTTATAATTTGCTGTAAAAATCAATTGATAATACTACAACCTATAACTGGAGACTGCTTTTCTTTTTGTTTTTTTTTTGTGACAGTTATTCATAATTAAGTAAAATCCAAATGTATTCAAGCATCTCGTAATAACAGGATACTGTTAAATAATTTGGAATTTATAACAAAAAATTCAAAATTTACTTCCAACTTGTTTGTAGTGGATCTGGGGAATCTAACAGCAGGTGATAAACTCTTTCTAAACTCCGTTACCTTTGGCCTCGTGATTGTTTTCACATTACCATAGTTTCTCCCTTTTCTTTCTAAACTGAGCCATGTCAGCACTCTGGTCAGGGCAGTGTGTTGTTCCAAAAGAGATGAATGCAAAAGGGTATTTTTTTTTTTTTTTAAATGTGGAAAGAAAACTCAGCAGAAATGTGCTGTCTGACTGGGTCAGCTGAACTTTAACACATTGATCATTCATCAGCTGTACTACTGACATTGCAGAAAGGTTATCTCAGCATTTTATTACTTAAAATGTATAGGTCACAATACATAGAATTAAAATGTGTCATTTAATTAACTATATATATTTTTGTTCTTAAAAAAACAAATCTGGTGGATGTAAAACACTTAAAAATAACAGAAGCATGGAATTATAAGTCAGGTTGCAGTTTGCTTGACTTGCACTTTTCGTGCTTACAGTGCAGGTCACAAGTCACAATTTTCCCAGTTTCTCCTTTTGGTATCTGTTGTCTATTATTTGGTTGTTATTGTTTTTTTTTTTCTTTTCAGCCAAATTCATAAGTTTTTATTTTTGTATACATAAGTGCACATAACTCTTTGGTTATCCTGCAATTTCTTTAATACCCAGGTTGTATTTACTCTTCTAGTGACTCCAATTTAACTACCCTATTGATGCCATTTATACATGTGCATTGGATGATTTTGTGCAATGAAATGCCGACAATAAAAACAACAAAGGAGCTTGGTATAATTAAACTCATCAATAATCTTTCATGTGACCCATTAGGATCTACGTCGGCCATTGCATCTGATCTTAGCTACTCCCGACCAGAAACGCCATCATCACCTCCACTGTTCCACTGACTCTTCAGCATGGCCAACGCAGACTGTGTCAGTGTGCGAGTCTTTTCTCTGAACTGCTGGTTAGTGCCTGTGGTTTGGAGATCTTCCAAATACAATGTTTTACATATGTGTGCATGTACAGCTTTGCACAATAAAAACAATGTCTGTTCAAACTCTCTGTGCAAAAGGGGGATCCACTATCTAAGCAAACACTGTTCTCAGCGCTATCAGATGATTGGAGAAATGTTGTGCAAGGAGCAACATGATATTGTCTTACTGCAAGAGGTAAGTGAAAGCTGTTGCACAATGACTTAAAGTTGATTGACTTTATCAGCCCATCATTTTGTAAGGTTGTGTATGCTTAAAGCATTCATTTAAACTGACACAGATATAAATGATTTATTAGAAACTTGATTTTGAAAGTTTACATGTTTTTTTGCTTTTTTTTTTTTTTTAGGTGTGGAGTGAGAAGGACTTTCTGTATTTGAAAGTGAAGCTTGCCTCTACTCATCCTCACTCACATTACTTCAAAAGGTAATATCTGTGATCTCCTGCTCCCAAAGGAATCCTCGTGAACGCTGGATGTGTTTCCTTCTTAACTGGGTGGTGCTAGCTTATATCTTCAAAAGACCATTGCAAGTGGAGTGTCAGAAAAATAGACATGCGTGGCAGTGAGTTGTTTGAAAATGGAGCTGAAAACCCTCATGAAGGACTAATCTTTGCTACTTAATCTTTTGTCTTTTGCCCTCCCCTGCCCCTCACCCCAAGGCTGTTTTAGTTTTAGTCCTATTATAGCATATGAAAGCACAAGCTTAAATGGATAATCACTTGTGCCTAGTATAACAAAATTTAACTTTTTATGTTGTATTTGTGTTGTAGCTAAAAATAAAAAGTAAATGTAGAACTGATTATGTCCTGCCTTTTTTTTTCTTCTTTGCAGCGGAGTCATAGGAAGTGGACTGGCCATTTTTGCCAAACACAGAATCCATGACACGTTTCTTTATCGCTACTCTCTGAACGGTTACCCTTACATGGTAAGTTCTTCCCATTATAGAGGTTTGTGAAAGTTTACCTTTTCTTGCACATTAACTGAATTTCCGTTGATACAAGAGATAAAAATGCATATATGCGCCCATACTTTCATCCAACCATATCTATTTTTTTTATTAATGTGTATGTGATACAACAAATAAAAATGATGACTTCTAGCTACAGTAATAGCATGTGTTTAGAGCAATCACTTAAATTTATTATAAGGGATTTTAATCCTTGAAGTGTGAGTAGCATGTTGGTAGTAAATTAAAGTGTCTTGCAAAGTGTTTATGTAAACCGCAATTAGTAATATTTTCTGCCATTTCTGGATGTCTGAATTCTATTTTTGAGTAAAGTAATTGCATTTACTCATAAATAAATGTGCTATATAAATTTAATTGCCAATAGTATTTGCTATGGCTTTGGGTCAAGAACCATCATCATCCTTTACACTAATTACTGTCGGAGATTTTTGTCTCAGTTTGTAGCGACCTTTAGACACAGAACAACGGGCAAATGTTGAATAGACTAGATTTTTCTTTTTATCTTTGTAGTTGAGTCCACTAAGGTTAAATTATAAAATCCCCATAAAGCCCAGGAATGCTTAGCCTTTTAAATTTGCCTAGCTCATTCGCTGTGCCTCTGATGCTGCTTGAATATGAAAATCATTGTGTTAAGCATACTTTTTGATGTTGGTTGAGGTAAAAGTACTATAACGTTTAGTAGTACTGCCACATTTTTCAGTTATTTTCTTCTATCTGTTATTTAATAAATTTCATATATTCTGTCTTATTTGCAGGCTCACCATGGGGACTGGTTTGGAGGTAAAGCTGTGGGGATGGCCATATTGAACATTGCTGGCCTGACCGCAAACGTCTATGTCACACACGTAAGCTTTTATAAAACCCTTTTTTTTTTTTCTTCTAGATTTTATGTAAATCTTAAAAAGTCATTTGTGTCTGTGTATTGATAGCTGCATGCAGAGTACAGCAGAGAGAAGGACTCTTATCTGTCCCACAGAGTGGTTCAGGCCTGGGAGCTGCAGCAGTTCATCCGGTAGTGTGTCTTTGCTTCAGTGCAGCCTCTGTGATCTACTGTGTGTTTACACTGCAACGTATTTACATACCATTTGCATTGCTATCTCCACCAGCTAGCTTTTAGTAGTAACATAGTATTCCATGAGTTTAATTTCAATCACCGACACAAGAACCAAAGCAACTTCCATCATTGCATCATTAAATAATTTTTTTTGTATTTTTTTTTTGTTGTTTTTTTTTGTTAAGTCATACGTCCACTGGAGCCGACGTAGTCATTGTGGGAGGTGACCTCAACATGCATCCTCAAGACCTGGGCTGCAGGCTGCTGATGTCTTACACTGGACTGAAAGATTCTTATATAGAAACTGCTAAATTTGATGTAGGTAGCAAAAAGACAGCTGCACTGAAAAATTAGTCTGTTCATATGAAGAAAATAGAGAAAACTGCATTAAAATGTTCTTTTAGAAACAAGTTAGCAGTTTTTTAGCTGATATAGAGTTTGAGATTTTTTACACTATAGATAAATCTGCTATCATAGAATCTCAAATTAATCAAACAGACTTTAAGCAAGTCCCCACTTCAGAGTTGTAGGTCAAAAAGCTTTATTTCAACATAAATGTTTGACATGAGCTTCTTTTGCATGCTGCTCATAGCTGTTGTGAAACAGATGGACTAAGTTTCACATCATCATTGTAGTTTTATGTTTTAAGATCTGAGTCATGCAAAGTGACTTGCATGAAATTAAGTTCAGGAAACTAAATTAAGGGGCACTTCACTTGCATGTAAAAACTATTTGTTTCTTCGTGGTTATTAAGATTTTACAAACATGTTTCTTTTTTTTAGGGATGTGAAAATGGTATGACTTTAATAGCAGACAACCTGTTTATCAGTAAAAACGAACTCATTCCCTTTGAGAAGGGGATTCGGATTGACTACATCTTGTTCAAGGTTTGTGAAAACTTAAAGCTGATAAATGCAGATTTTTTGTTTTTGAAATCCTACTTGTTCACTTGAATATTTTACATTCAACTCACTTTGTCTTTTCAGGGTTCCTCCACAACCAAGATTTATTGCGATTTCATGTCCACCACCAAAGGCTCCGTTCCTGGCCATCCCCTCCCATATTCCGACCATGAGGCTCTCACTGCAGAGTTACGGCTAGAGTCCCACATTCCAGCTCAGGCTGGAAGTGGTAAGACTCACGACACTCCCGCAGGTATCACTACCATAAACGCAAGATAACTTAAGTAGTGTCGCTTCATAGATTCCCCTTGAAGGGCCTCTCTTGTCAATGCTTCTCTTGCAAGATGTATCAAATAAGGTGTTTGATGAGTGTTTTTTGACAACGTCTTTGTCCATTTTCTCTCTCCTTGTTCAGAAAAGCTAGCTGAGCTGGTTGACACTTTAACCGAGGCACGCACAGAGGTCAAAGTGGGCTTGCACTGCGCTGAGAGGATGCGCTACACTGCTGCACGTACTGGAGTGATGGGCTTAGCGCTCCTGGTCCTGGAGCTGGCCATCGCAGCAGTTCCCTGCTTCGCTCTGGGAGCGGAACAGCCTTTTCCTCGTATCTCCTTCTACCTGCTGGCCGCTCTGTGCTTCGCCATCCTGCTGACCACCTTCCTGCTGTACATCTTTTATACCATGGAGCTGAAGTCTCTCCAGGGAGCTGAAGATCAGATGAGGCTGGCTGTAGGTAGTCTCCAGGAAAAGCTCCGAGGTTTCCCTGTGGCTCAGCCTAACGATGCACCACAAAGGTCTCCAGAGGGGCAACAGCCCAGTGCCTTAGATCCAGAGGAGTAACTTTAGAAGCTTGTATTAAGAAGGTTTTGAAGTCAGCTTTAGTCTTTTCTTCCAAATATGCTTTTGAGATTAAATGCCTCAGAATGAACTAGAAGTATGAAACATTTCTGAAAGTAGTGCAGGACACATGCTTTGACATTTTTATACTTTTATAGTCATCTGCAGACCTTTATAGCTCTTAGGTTTCCCTCTATGCAGCTGCAGTATACAAATATGCTTCCTAGTACACAGCAATTCCATTAAATGTTGCTGTGGTGCTTAAAAGTCTTAAATATATATTTTTTTGTATAATTAAACCTCGGGTCTGACGTCCATTCCACCCACCCGTAGTTTGACTGGGACCAGTTGTTTCTGCGTTGAATTTCATGTGTGGCATTACTGACTCCTACAAACCGTCACGCAGCAGCTGTGGGCCAGGTTGTGATTGTTACAATGTGCTTTGAAGCTAAGGGAAAGTTCTCCGACCTAGAAGTAGCAGAAATTTCGAACGGTTTACATTTCAGTTTTTTTTTTTTTTCTGTAGTTACTGTAAGGATAACTATGATGCTGTTAAAACATTTCAGTTTTTTATTCTAAGTGGAGAGGTAAATGTATCTGCATGTCTTTTTTTTCTTGCTAAGCATAATTACTTAATGTCTATGTTTTAGAGACAATCTGCACTCCTGTTTCATGTATTATTAAGCTATGGAAATAGTTTGAATTTGACCTTTTTGATCATCAAAACTATTGTTTTTCACAAAGTTTTCTAGTTGACTGAAATTTTTAAGATGAATAATATATTATTAGTGATGTTGATTTACATTACATTTGCTTATTTTGTGCTGCCATGTGACTGAATGTGTTGCTCCAAAACCATGATGTGAAGCACTTGGTAGTTCTTAAATCAAACATTTTGTTCATTCCCCTGTAAAGATTGTGATGAAGATGAATCATGGAAGCAATAATAAATACTTTATAAATGCCACCATACTGTTTCAAATTTGTATTTTTTTTATTTTTTATTTTTTTGCAAAAGTATTCATGCTCTTAATATTTTTGCCATGTTACAATTCAGATGCCAGTGTCTTTATTGGAACTTTTCCTCTTATTATGCTTTGACAACGTGTTCTTTGTTGGTCTGTCATAAAATTCTAAATATATTCAAGTTTTAAGGAGATACAAAAACGGAGCACAAACACAGCACAGTTTGGCAAAAAGATTCATACATTCACCACCAGAGGGCAGTCTTTCTGTATTTAACAGATGGACTTTTAAATGGTTTGTACAACAAACATCACTGCAGATTTCAAGACAGGTGACACAGTAGGATTATACTTAAGGCAAAGTTGCCAGCTGCCACATGAACACCCAGCGGGCAGCACTACCCTTGGGTGTGTTCCTTTAAACAGTTTTTTTCTCCAAACGCTCAAATGAGTAATACATTATATTTGGAGGCTATTCTGTATACTTGTCCATGTGAAGAAGGCAGATACTGTCCTGCCAATTTTCCTGGAGTCAAACCTGATTTCAAATCCAGTTGGTATATTGACTCAGAATAATTAATTGATATTTTTCTAAATTAGAGCCAACTTGGAGCATGATTCAAACCCCTTTTATTTTACAAGTTTCTTTGTGATGAGAAAATAAGGCTGTTTTGATATAATTAGTTGTACCGACTGAAAGGACTAGCTAGTTGTGTGTTTCATTACAACAGAACCTTGTAAGTGATCGTCTGTTTTGAGTTTCCAACTCGGATGCATTATTTTTTTTTTTAAAAAGCATTTGAGTCAAATTCAAGAACAGTCATGCAATGATAGAATGCATTTATAATGTGTTCAGTATGTCAAAAGGTCAAAAATTACTACCTGATGCTGACCTATTGCAAATGTGTCCTCTGCATATATTTGCCTAATATATTTACTCAGCAAAATGCAAAATGGTGATCGGATTAAAATCTATCAGGTTTCTTCGTCCACACCCATTGACTGTAAACTGACTAAACATAATTATAAGCACTACTCTTACTCTTTCAGCTTCATTTACTTTAAAATTATCTACCAATACAATGACATCTGCTAAAGTATCTTTTTTAGATAAAGATATAGTAATATAATGATCATACTGTTCTTTCTTGTAAAATTGAGTATTTTCTTTTTTTTATTTCATTACATACAGGTACATCTAAAGTAATAATAATGTCCTTTAACATTTAGACTGAAAAAAGTAAAAATCATATTTTAAACATATCACACACAAACTTAATCCATTTATTTCTGTTAATTTTGATAATTGTAGCTCACATCTGATAAAAAAATAAAAAAAATACAAAGTCAGTTCTGCAAATTTGAGTTATAAGAATTATAAAATGGATGTTTATGTAGAAATATCAGCCTACTAAAAAACATAGTGATACAAGGTATAGAAAGTGAGCTTAATACTTGGTTAGGGCTTCTTTTGCATGAACTACTACACTGACCCGGTATATCATGAAGATTAGTCAGCCTACAGTGGAGCTGAGGTGTTACGGAAGCATAGGTTGCTTTAACAGCAGCCTTCATGTCAGCCTGTGCTGTTCGGTCTGGTGTCTTCCTCTTCTCAATATTCCACAGATTTTCTATGAGGTTTAGGCCAGGAAAGGATATTTCATATCTGTAATTCTCAAATTAAGGAACCATAATGTACAACCTCTATAACAGAGGATTTGGCTTCTCCAAGTCATTTCTGACTGTGAAACCTTCACAGTGGAGCTTAAACTACTTGTATTCTGTGTGTCTCTGTACTTTTTCTCAAGATCTTGACTTGGAAATGAAGTGAATTTTTTCTTTAACCTGTTGTTCACAGGTTGTCATTCACAATGACAGGGGTGTCAAACTCCAGTCCTCAAGGGCCGCTGTCCTGCAGTGTTTAGATGTGCCACAGGTAAAAAACAGTGGAATGAAATGGCTTAATTACCTCCTCCCTGTGTAGATCGGCTCTCCTGCGCCTTGCTAATGACCTAATTATTCTTTTCAGGTGTGGTGCAGCAGAGGCACATCTAAAAGTTGCAGGACAGAGGCCCTTGAGGACTGGAGTTTGACACCTCTGTCACGAGAGGACCCAAATTTGGGTCCTCTCGTGAATAACAGGTTAAGTGACTCCACCTGCAGTGTTAAGAAAGTCCCTCGAATGCCATGGTTATCCCTCTTGTTTTTGGACTTTTTCAGTTAATTTTTTTCCTTCCACTGAACTTTCCATTAACAGCATTAAGTTAAGAGCCAGCTTCAACAACAAATATTTTGTGACTTACCTTATAAATTACCTAACTAACTGCTGACACCTGAATTGGTCCTAATAGAATCATAACATAATATTTGTATAAAATAATGTGTTAGTTTCATAATTTGCAAATTTCGAGATAAGTTGAATTATGATTCGGTGTAATTACCATTCAAATGAATAGAAATAAAATATTGAAATATATTTTCTGTGTAATTCACGATGTGTGAATTACGATATTTGTCACGATCTTTACTTTTTAAATGAAATTATTGAAATAGCTGCTCGATAATATCCTTCCTTTTGGCCTGCACCTGTTGATAACCGGATCAAATAAAGTTAGTTTAATCACTAATACAATGGTTTTATTCCCCGCATCAGAGATAGATGTCAGTTTCACTGTCTCTACCTCATCTGTAATTAGGTCAGAAGAATAACTACCCAGAATAAGTAAAGCCACATACCTACGTAAATATTTACTGCCTCAACTTCCCCCAATTACTGCTCACGTTGTGGGAAAGAAAGGGAGTTGGCTGCTATGTGCAGCTCATCTATCCTGCAAGTAAAAGTCCAGTCTTGCAGGTCTATTGTGGTTTCATGTGGGCGCGGTCTCGTCGCTCAGGGCAGGGCAGGGCAGCGCAGAGGAAGGTGAGCTGTTCACACTCTGCCGACGCCGACTTTCCTTCGGCTGCCAGATCCTTCGGATGTTTTGTTCGCTCTTCTAAAGGCTGAGCAAAAATGTCGAGTGCGGATCCTCTGAAATCGGCGATTTCCATCAGGGGCGCGGACGACACGTCGCTGGCTCTGCCGTCGGCGAATGAGTATCATTCCCGGGAGCAGCGCGTCAGGGCGCAAGTACAATCTCTCAGGAGGACGAAGTCGAGGCACTCCAGCAGCGGCAGGAGCGAATCTTCTTGTCTTTCCCCATCAAGTAAGACGGGCCTTTGTTTTACTGTACACACAGTTCAGCAGGATATGGCAGATTTGAATTTAAGCTGGAGAAGTTTTAAAGTAAAAACGTGTTAAAGTTTCACATCTTAAGGCATTTTATGGTGCAGAAAAAAGAGAGAGGTCGATAAATTATTCGTTTAATTTATTACACCCTCATAAACTTTGCTGGTTATATGAAGTGCTCACAGGCTTTACTGTCCTTCCAGTGGGAAAAGATAAGAATACGATAGATTGCAGCTTACCTTCAGCTTAAAACATCTGCAATGATTTACCAGGAACTAGTTTTAGTATAAAAACTTTTGAGTTTGCTGTTTAAAAGGTATTTTAAGAAAGTTTAATTCTAACACCCAAAGAAGAGAACAAATCATTTACATGTATATTAATAAATTATTGGTTTCAAAAAACCCAAACATTCCCAAAATGGAGACTTATTCAATGGTGACGGGGTTTTTGGATTGGATACAGTCAGTTAATGTTCAACTTACTGTCATAATCTCATGTGAATCACATCCATGCCAAAACTGACAAAATATTTCTGATATGTCTTGGTTATAAAAAGAAATATAGAACAGTTTGCTCATTCAATAACCAATAACCCTTTTATTTTTTTTATTTTTTTTTATTTTTTTTTTTTGCTGCATATGCCATTTTACAGCTGCAGCCTCTTGAAAACTGCAGCTTTCAATTTCTTGTAAACATTAATAACACCGGTTTGTGGTTGTCATTAAAATGTCAGTTTTATTGTTACCTGCTTGTTCTAAAGAAAATAAGAGTCCAATAATTTTTTTTGGCTATAACTTCAAACTTCAGTGATTTTTATTTTTTTTTTTTGCTTTAGTCACCAATCGTTACTGGTTCTACATTTCCATAGCAATTCATACTTCAAGGGATAGACCGAAGATCAGACGTGCCGTCACAGATTCAAAGCAGTTTATTGTTTTCCCACAGGCAAAGGATTTAAATCACTGGCTGCAAAAGAGGTGTGTGTTCAGAGCGCTGGAAAGCAGCTAGTAACCTTTCACTTCTCTGCCCAGGCCCCGAGTACGACGCTGTGTTTCTAGATGGCCCAAAATCATCTCAGTTGAAATCATCTAATGGAAGCGTATTTTTGAGCAATGGCTCCTCAAAAGTTGTAAGTTTTTCTTTCCTTCTTTATTGCTGATATTTTCCCATTCGAGTGTTTTTTTCTTCTCATTGATCGGAGAATTTTAATGAGTTTATCTTCCAAAAAGAAAGTTTTTTTTGTTTTTTTTCTCTGTGTGGGTTTAGTTTCCTGTTTGTTGAATCTTTGCTTCAGTCCAAACTTTGGTACTCCAGAGATGCTTATGTTTTTTTTTTTTTTTCTCTC